ATATGTATGATGCTCGGGTTTATACTTTTGCTGTGATCTTGTATAGCCATCTATGTCGGACAGTCTTCGACATTATATCTGTGACAACGTAGAAACAAGGAACGAATTGTGGTTCGGACTTGAATGCCACGCTGGTTTAATAATAAATACAAGTGTTTACATTAACTTCGTAAATTTTACTGCAGATCTAAACCACAGAAAATACTTATATAAGTTCACATGTACGTGCATAAATGTCTGTATTTCTAATATCCGTTACATAGCTACAAATGCTTAACTACCCTATAGCCCGTGTAGAACACGGGATACATTTTATCATGACTAAGATCGTGATACTAATCCTAAGCAATAGACTTCTTAAGAATCTGATCATATCACGATCAGATGGATAGTTTGGAAATGGAAACACAATGTGAAATCGAACAACATAGGGAAAATGCACGACATGGATATATGATTGGGTGACGACTTTGTAATCTATCAGATTACTTTTAGATCGCGATAGGAAGGATGGAAGGATTTCCAATCTGCAATCCTATCAGATCAAGATCAGATCGCGTTTGCACCTTTACAAGATTGCAACTAGCAATATGGATCTAACCGCCAAGAATAACTGGTTTGCTCTCCTTTTTGAGTATTCTAGATGAGCTTCGCTAAGGTTTGAATTAAATTGGACCCGTTGTCAAAGTGTTAGGAGAACTAAGATGTAGATACCTTACGCAGGGTTCTATGCTTGTGATGTTGACACTTCGATGTGTATCCGCAAATTATTATCCCAAAAAACTGGATATTCCCACTACTTCTAAACAATTAAGTTCCTCCGTGCTACGCTTCTCTACTTCCCCACGCCGGAGTAGTGGCGAGCACACTACCTCCTCGTCACCACAAAAATGACTTTTCCAATCTTCCCCAATTACTGCTACATAAATACTCAATTATAAATAAAACAAAAGCCATAACTACTTGAAACAAGTTGGCGAATATTATTCATAAAAAACATATAGTGTGTAAAAAAAGTAAGTTTCTCCATCCTGCTCACATGCGCAATTTTTGGTTGTATTTTTTTCTGTAACTTTTACATTTGGTCATGTTTTCAAAATTTTATTTCGGTGTTATGACCCCCACATATAGGGCTTCTCGTAAACCGAAAATAATTCGAATATAAATTTACATGGTGCAGGGTATAGTGACAAAGAAATATGTGAAAATTTAAAAGTGTCCCCCTACACAGTGAGGTCACGCAGAGACAAAAATTTTTGTAGGGACAGGGAACGGTCTGGAAGTTCCACTGTACTCTCTTCTACAATAAAAAACCAAATAATGTCAAAAATGTATCGGAAATTCTGTATTTTTACCACGAAACCTCAGGCACCTTCAAATTCAGTTGACGATAAAAACAGACGACTAAGAATATCTCTGTAACCACTGATGGGAAAGATCTAAAAACAACATGTTTTGGTCAGGAGGCATGGACAGGTCAGCAGAAAACACTTTAAAGCCAACACAGTTTTTCAAACCGGCTAAAATTTGAGAAGTAGTCGAAAAAAGAGGGTTTTTGACCCCTGGAGTACTCGGGATTTAGCTAAGTACTCGCTGATGATAGCCACACCGAACTATGCGAACAATGTACCCCCCAAAATTTGAGATATAGGAAGGAAGAAAGGAAGGATGTACCACCAATCCTAAGACCGAAACACGACACCTAAAACATGGTCGCTTCTGGTTTTTTTGTCAGTGGCGTCTTAAAATTACATTTTGTTTCAACGAGTCAAAAAATTAACGCAGCCAATTATCAACAAAAAATTCTTCCCATATATTTCGAGGTTATGGACACAAGTATTATTTCAAGTAGAAGGAATAAAGATTTTCAACAAGATAGGGCTCCAGCACACATGGCAAAGTCGATGATGGAGCTGTTGGAGGGGAGAGTTTGAATCGTGTAGGGGAAGGGGGTGTGACCTGAAAATTCTCCGGATTTTAGCCCGATCGAACACAAGTGGAATATACTAAAGGATTCGGCTCACGAGCAACCTTATCCAACTACAAGACAGGAATTGCAAGCTCGTTTCCAAGAAAAGTGGAATTCACTTACGGTTGAGCTTTTACAAAAACTCGCACAAGATCTTAAAGCGAGGGTGGAAGAAATGACTAAAAGTGGTGACAGACACACGACATATTATGGCACATGGAAAAAATTTGAAATATTGAAATATTTCGATCTGCACAGTTTTATCGGCTCGTGAAAATTGTAATGATTTCAGAGGGAGAAACTTTTTTTACACACCGTACATCGTTAAAATCATTAACTACATAATTCCCCAATTATTATGTCTAATAATTATGAAGGGTACAATCTCTGCATTGTACTATTTGCAGCAGAGCTGGCTGCGTAGTGCTAACAGAATTTCTTTGGCTCCAGAACCTCACCCATCAAACAGAGCTACTCTAATTCTGTACAACCAACGACACATTGCACAGAAATCTCATCATGTATATAACTGCATAGGTCGATCCGCCATCGACTTCTGCTCCAAAACCAAAATTCATAAAATCCCTACATTTTCTTGGAACAAAAAGAGTACTAAATAAATGAAATAATAATCTGTCCAATTTTTCACTAATTCGGAATTATTGGCTACTCCAATATTTTCTAAACTAACATTAACTAAATAAGAAATGACGCTTCATTACAAAAATTGTTAATAACTCCAGGATTTGACACCTTAATATTCATTCCGTCTATCTGTCAATTCTATTCTACGACGGACTCACGGATGGACAGACGAGAGACAGAGAGAGGGCTAGTCTGATATAGGATATCACATACATAATTCATGTACACATGTATACACTTACAAGTTTATACTTGTTAGTATAAACCGTTTACAATGATCGATACATATACATTCAATATCCCTGACGTGACAGACGACTTTTCAGTAGTCGCTTCGTCCAGCCTCTTAGCCTTCTTTTAAAGTCATTTCTGCCCCAGCCCTGGCGTGAGGCACGAAGCGAGGAATATGTACACGATTTAGGAGGAGAGACCCTCTACGTGTCCGCCTTAAATCGCCTCCAAACTTTGGCCCATGGTAGGTTTCGGTATTTAAAAAATATATATTGAAGGATTTTACTCCATGGCCACACCCACCGGAGATATTAAAGCTCAAAGTTTCGAAATTTTCCCCATTGCTGTAAGTATTAGAATTTGATCGGGTGATGGGAATAAATGTTTTATAAATAGCAAAATCTGCAGTAAATCAAAAATGGAGTTTTTACTTTGCAAATGATTTAATGTGAAAATATTTTTTAACCGGAAATTTTTACAATCTGAATGGAAATCATATTTGTAAGTACTTCAAAAGTAACTGCAATCATATTTATTCCCAGTAAAATTTAGATTGTAACTATTTTCAGTGAAAAAAATATTTTTTAAATATTTTCACAATAAATCATTTGCAAAGCAAAAACTCCATTTTTGATTTACTGCAGATTTTGCTATTTAAGAGACACTTATTCCCATCACCCGATCAAATTCTAATACTTACAGCAATGGGGAAAATTTCGAAACTTTGAGCTTTAATATCTCCGGTGGGTGTAGCCATGGAGTAAAATCCTTCAATATATATTTTTTAAATACCGAAACCTACCATGGGGCAAAATTTTTTAGGCGATTTAAGGCGGACATGTAGAGGGACTCTCCTCCTTAGCTGGGTGGTCACGCATGCAAATGAAATTCATACCTAAAACTCACACATGTAGCTTAAAGGATACTTATTTTCTATGCATACAAATTGCCCACGCAGTATACATAAAAGGAATATATTTGATGAAGAATAATCCTGCATGGGATTGCTGAAATTATTTAGATTTTCGATATAGTACGCTGAATGTACGCTCATCATGTAAGAATAAAATAAAATCTAGACCTTCAAACAACAATTTTTACTGGTAAACTCATACTTTTTTTTGGAATTTTTATGATACTAGGTAGAGGAGAATTGAATCATGTAACAATTTTCTCTCTTATCATTTTTTTCCCCGATGCACTGTTTGGGTGTGAGCATTTTGGAAGTTTTGGAGTACTCATTCGTGAAGGATACACGCTGGGCCCCACCTGACAATGAGCATATTCATTTTTTGGTTCCGAGCAGGGCCGCGCATTGCGGCTCTCGCCACGCCAAAGAACGAACCAAATTATAAAATGATCGCAATATAATTCACATTTGTTCCGATTAAATAAGTTTAGTCCTGTAATACTTGCTGCATGAAGAAATTGGTTGAAATTAAAAGTGAAAAGAAATAATAAATGTTATGTGTGCATATGTTATGGTATGTTATGTTATGTACTCCTGCTTGGTACCATATTTTACTATCAGCACGCCTTTTAATTATAGCACCTTTAGGGCATGATGTACTACCAATGCCGTTTAGTAAATTGAAATATATACGTTTTTTTAATTGTATATATGTAATTGACACACTACTTATCTTGGTATTTTACATATGTATATCCAGAGATAGTTGACTCAGGTGCATAAAGGAGATTTCGGATTGATGCATTAATTAACTCGGACGAAATGTCAGGACTGACAGTTGATGAATGGTCAATATCTGCACAAAAATCCAACAAACAACAAACAACAGGATAATTATGTTTTTATCAAACAATGATAAATTAATATATCGAAATTCACTGAAATGTGAACCAAGTGGTTTGTATTTCACTGAATTTTGGTTATAATACAAGTCTAGCTGCGCATTATTTTGATACCCGATTCAATTTAAAAACTAATTAATTTTCATCCTGACAGACTCAAGTGGTGTTGAAGCAAATTTCCAACAAACTGTGTCAACTTAATCTATATATTGTTCTAGAGTGATGCTTAAGATAACGAGTTGAACGAAACCCACGTCACGTTTTCTCAGCTACATAAAAGCCCAGTCAATCCGACCTTCACTCAATTAATGTGCTCTGCAAAAGCAATTACTTAATACGCCTAAATTACCGCTATCATGATGCCTGGAAGTTTCCGAAAAATGCTCATTCTGGCCCTATCGATTGCCACATGTTCCGCATTCATCCAGGAAATATCGCTGTATACCGGAACAGATTGTACTGGAGGAGCTATCACTTTCCAAACCAAGGAAGCTCAATTGACTAATTGGGAGTTCTTCCTACCCTCCATAAATTCTGTGAAAGTGCATGGATGGTAACACATTAAATTGTTCGAATTAATAATTACACGTAGTAATATTGAATATATTGACAGGTGGGTATTGTATTCTGGGGCCAATTTTAACACATATCTGAATAGTTATAGTTATCGTCCAACATTCGTGTGCATTAATTCAACTCACCCAAAAACATCACGGTCTCTCCGGCACCTAGGACCATCACAAACTGACACACTGTCCCTCTCTGTCTATGAAAGTGGTAGTTGGGTAGGAAGAGAACTAATTATCACAGCTCCAGCTGCAACTAATTTTGGGTTCGTCGCCACCTACGGGGTTGCATCCGACTACTCCAGTTGGACATTGTACACAAACGCAGATTTTACAGGAGCTTCAGTTTGTGTGGCTGGTAATGGCGGTCTCGTTTCTAGAACCTTTACATTTAGATCGGCAACATCAGGATGCAACAAGGACTATAAGCTTCGTGGCACTAAAACTATCACAGATGTATCAAAGTTCTACTACTTTTAAGCAATAATGCTGCAGATGTACGGGTTTGGTATTACAAAATTGTTTAGTTTACAACTAGTTTACTGTTTTGCAAATTGACTATTAGGTTCAATTATGACTAGCTAATGTAATGTTCGCGCATATTGGAGACTTTGCTTTTAATAAATTATACAAGCATTAATTTAATCGTTGATAAGATAAGTAAGCGATAATGAAATACCTCAGCGTTCTAAATTACTCACGCTGCTTACGAACATTTGTAAACAATTAAATGCTTATGTTCTTCTGAAAATGGCGCGGAAATATGTGACATGACGAGTATCAAAATATTATCCCTTCAAATCGGTCGCGAAGAGATTATCTCGTTAGCGGCCGTCTCATCTCATCTCGTCTAATCTCATCATCATACGAGATCGTCTCATCTAATCGGCAACTCTAATATAATCGCAATAGGTTAGGAAACATTTCTACCTCTTTCATGTCAATATTTGGATATTTTCTGGCTTGCGTCACACATACTTACGTTGGAGAATTGGATTCTACACAAACAAAACAAAATTAAATTTATCGAATTATTTCATTAAGTCGAACTCAATTTTTTAAGGATACATACATACAGATATACATACAGATATATGTATGGACAGACTGTATATTCAATCAAATTTAATGGGCCCTATAAACGCAAACTTTATGTATCATATAAATATATACTTATGTAACTGTCCCTAAACTAAAAGAAGTTCTGAATTACGTAAATAACGATCGGATAACTCGATCACTTTAGTTTTGAAATAACTAGACAGATGCAGAGAGAGTCTAGCTGAAATGTGCCGCAAATCCCGTTTCCATCACGAGAGAGAAAAGTGAGACTCAGCCACAAAAACTTGGCTCGAGTGCGCTTGCATGAGCGTTGCATGTAAGTGCCGTATCGTCTCACTTTGTCTCTCTGCATAAACATTGCATCGCACCAACCAACATCTCACTTAATTAGTATGGTATGCATTAATACCTACCATACTTAATACAATGAGATGTTGGTTTAATTTTTTAAATTTCTTCGCCGACTTAATTCACTGACTCGTTCTGATCCTTCTGATCTTTTGAACGAGTCAGTTCACTTTTGCAAATTGCTCCAGTTTTTTTAAATAAAAAATTATAAAAAAAGTGCAGTGCTTTTTAAAATAAAATAAAAAAGTGGTCATGGAGCATTCGTCCTCCCACGACAACCAGCCACCATCACCACCACCCCCAAATCCACCCCCGCCACCACAATCGACCATGTCGTCATCATCGTCATCACCCTCTCCACCTGACATTTCATCATTCCCACCACCCCCTATAACGGAAATGGCTACACCCCAGATGGAAAAAAACCATGGTACGTGTCATTTTTTTTGCAAATTTTTGCACAACGATCAATGCCACGAGAGGATGATTTTGCATTGGTCATCCTCCACATGGTACCACCACTCGTCGCAGCCAGTATGTTCCTCTATAAAAAATAAGGTAGTACCATGGGCATACAGAGGGGCATACTGGCTAGTTTTGGTTTTTGACCATATTTTAACCTTTTGGTTACTTCTTGCAGAAGTAGCCGCCGATGCAGAGGATGCAGAATCCAGACCGACCATGGAAGGTACAATTATTAATACTTTAAAACTTGTTTTAATTATTTTTAAAAAATAATAAAAAAATTTTAAAAAAAACTGGTAAAAATATGAAAATGGTGAAATTATTGAAAAGGGAAAAAAATCAAAGGTGAAAAAACATTTAAGTTGAAAAAATAGTAAAATTGTAAAAAAAATCAGAGGTGTAGAAATGAGAATATTAAGAAAGGAAATTCATTTATATTGGTAAAATATTCAAAGGTGGGATACTTATTTTACGTTTATTGAATTTTTTTTAAATTGGTAAGCAATTCAGGGATTGAAATATTTTTCTAATTTATTACATTTATTAAAATTGGTAAGAAATTCAGCGGTGGTATAATTATTTAAATTTTAAGACATTTATTAAAAGTGGTAAAAAACTCAAATATATGATAATTATTTAAATTTTGACCATTTTTAAAATTGGGAAAATAATTCAGAGGTGGGATAATTATTTAAATTTTATGGTCTTTTTTAAAATTGGTAAAATAATTCAGAGGTGGGATAATTATTTAAATTTTATGGTATTTTTTTGGGAAAATAATTCAGAGGTGGGATAATTATTTAAATTTTATGGTAGTTTTTTTAATTCGAAAATCTTTCAGAGGGGGGATAATTATTTAAATTTTATGGTATTTTTTTAAAATTGGGAAAATAATTCAGAGGTGGGATAATTATTTAAATTTTATAGTATTTTTTTTGGGAAAATAATTCAGAGGTGGGATAATTATTTAAATTTTATGGTCTTTTTTTAAAATTGGGAAAACAATTCAGAGGGGGATAATTATTTAAATTTTATGGTCTTTCTTAAAGTTGGGAAAATAATTCAGAGGGGGGTTAATTATTAAATTTCATGGTCTTTTTTTAAAATTGGTAAAATAATTCAGAGGTGTGGTAATTATTACAAGTACACAAATCTTATTAGAATCAACCCGGCTTGTTGTTGATATTCAAATAATCTGAATTGCGTTACAATTAAATTTTAAATTTTTGACAGGACGTTTTTGTGATATTGGACTCAAGATTGCTCATCACGGCTGGACCTGCTCTGAAGAACGAACACCTCTTCTCAGTAAGAGGAATTTCTCAAAACTCATGGAGTCTATTAATCAGGCGATCCCAGGTTTCAATTCTAAGAGTAGTTTCCATGATAATATTATTTGTAACGAATGTTACAAGCTATTTCGACTACGAAGGGGAGAGGAGTGTTGTCATCCCAATCATAATAACAAATATTCGAAAAAGTTCGAGCGATATATCACGGCGGAGGATTACTTTAATAAGTATAGGTCAATTGGGTTGTTTCCCAACCAGGCCATATGCAAAAGATCTGATCGATGTTGTGACAGAGTGGAAGAAATTCAAGCCCAAGGATTGCAAGACCCCAACTATGAAGAAACAGTTACGAAGAAGAGAATGTTGGAAAATTTAACCCTTATCAAACAGATCATTTCACCTTCGGCCCCTTCAATTTCGATTAATAAAAGAAATCTCAAGCAACAAGGAAAGCTAGTCACCAAAGAACTTGAACAAATAACTAGTACGATTACTAGTGGATTCCAAAATCTAGGACTACCGATTCCAGAAGATAACAACCTAGGGCAAATTACTCAAGATTCCAAGGATCTACAAGAGATCATGGGAAGTTTAAAGTCAAGAATGATGGGATGTTCTCAAGCAGAAAAAAAACAGCTCCTAACATTGGTTCCGACTTCCTGGACTCTTGAGAAAACAATGAAATTCTTCGGGGTCGGGAAACGTTTGGTACAAGGAAGCCGCAAACGACGACAAGAGACCGGTACCATTCTACCTCCCATAAAACCTAAGCAAGGACGCAAAATTTCACAAGAAATAAAATCCAAAATTCAAGATTTCTATTATCAAGACGACATTTCTAGAGCCTGCCCAGGACAAAAGGACTTCTTCTCCATCAAGAACAAGGAAACAGGAAAACGAGAACGTAAGCAAAAGCGTTATCTTTTGAGTAATTTGCGCGAACTCTTCACCATGTTCAATACTCAACATCCCGAATGCGCTGGAAAAGTTGGAAAATCATCATTTATGATGATGCGTCCAAGGGAATGCATCTCACTAACAAGCAAGGGTTACCATAACGTCTGTGTCTGCATCCACCATGAAAATGTTAAACTTTTGTTCCATGCTATTAAGATTTCATCCATAAAACCAGCAATTTCGCAATTAGTTTGTGAAAATGGTGGCAAGGATTGCTACTACCGACGTTGCCCGACGTGTTTAAAATCAACAGAAGTATTCAAGAAATCTTTAAGAGAAAATCAGATCATTAAGGATAGTACCAATATTTCATATAGAAGATGGCTGAGCACTGATGGAACCCAATATATGACAGAAGAAAAAGAAACTGCAGACTTTGTGGACTTCGCAACTTCGGAACTGGAGAAGTTACTCAAACACCACTACATCAGCAGAGCTCAACATGAGTTTCTTGTGGATCTTAGAAAGAATCTCAAGCCCGGTGAGATATTTATATGGGGTGACTTCGCGGAAAACTACACCCCTGTCACACAAAATGCTGTCCAGTCAGATTACTATAACCACAAACAAATTACAATTCACCCCTTCGCAATATACTGGACCTTGAATCAAGTTACTTACAACGTCGGCGTATCTATTATCAGTGACGGCACCACTCATGACACAAATTCGTTCTACGCATTCCAGCACAAACTCATACCATTTCTGGTTCGCGAGTTTGCTGCCGCTCAAATGAAAATTTCCTACATACACTACGCTTCGGATGGATGTGCAGCTCAGTACAAGAACCGCAAGAATTTCTGCAATTTGTATCATCACATTAAGGACTTTGGGATTCCAGCTGAATGGCATTTTGGAGCAACTGCCCATATGAAAGGACCCGCAGACGCACAAGGTGGAATTGCCAAACGTGGAGCAAGGACTGCATCCCTCCAAGGAACAAAAATCACAACAGCTCGAGATTTCTACGATTGGTGCAAATCTAATATCCATGGGATTGAATATCTATGGGTCCCAGATTCCGAAATCCAGCAGATAACTGAAGACAAAGATTTGAACACCCGATACGAGACGATAACAACAATTGCTGGAACTCAACAAGCTCATCGTATTGAAATTGGATCCGGAAAAATTCATTTGTACGAAGTTTCTCAAGACACTACGATCATGGCCACGAAATTAATGGAATCCGAAATGCAAGTTCCTTCTGTTGTCATTGATGAATGCTCCATCGACGATTGGATTGCATGTGTCTACGACAATAAATGGTACGTGGCTGTCATTGATGAGGTGGATTTCCAGGAGGAAGAAGTGAAGGTGACGTTCTGGAAACCGAACACTGCAAAATCAATTGCTGGAACTTCCTTTATTTCTGAAAATGCATCCTGTTATATCAAAATTGGACAAATTCTACAGAAAATATTCCCATCAAGAGCATCAAGACGAAGCGGAAGGACAATCAACATCCCTATCGTCGTACAAGAGGGTATCGACAGATTATTTAA